TGTTGGCGGTGGGTGGTGATGACTAGCTGCCTTCCCTCTAGTCTTACACTGCTAAATTAGGGACGGCTAGCGCAGATAGCCCTCGTGTAGCTTTGTGCGAAATTCAAAAAAAACAAACAATCGCTATGTGATCGCTATTACGACTTTAATATGTTTCATATATAGCTAATTTTTACTCAAATTTATCTTTTTGGCTTGCAACTGGTACCTTTGGACTTGCGGCCCTTTTGAGGGTGTCTGAGAGCCGCATGGATGGCCCACGAACTATTTTAAATTGCTCATCACTGGTTTAAAGTAAAAACATTAATAGAAGGGTAATTATACTTAATAACTTTATAAAAATGTTAAATATTTTCTGCTTCATATCTTAACAATGAATTATCTCTAGAGTTAAATGTTCCAGTTTTAGAGTTGTTTAATGATTTTATCATCTGATTTCCATTTCAGAAACATTAAATTTAAGGTATACATGTATAATTTGTTGATTATCTTGTTCTCTTTCTATTTACAACACACAGGGAAGTAAACGACGATAATCTGCTATACAAGGACTTAACCTTTAATAAACCCGGTGAACTAATATCAACACAGGTAAACTATCTAAAGATATATTATCAAAATTTGAAGTACTTATAACACTAGGCACCATGGGTAACCCAACTTAAGAAAACAAGGTAATTAATTGACCTTTTCTTATATGTGTTAAAGAACCTAAACACTAAGCATTTTAAGCATTTTTGTTGTTGGTTTGTCTTTCAATGCTAAAATAAATGCCTAGGTAAAAAACAAAAAAAACACCTGTTTTTGTTTGTTTTGTTTTCTGGAAGTATTCAACCTAACAAGTAAAATGAGTTTATTTCTGATTTTTGTGACCAAAGTGTTGAATTTATTATTTACTTGCTCCGTTGCAGTGTGAATTGATTATTTACATGCTCCGTTGCAGTGTGAATTGATTATTTCCTTGCTCCGTTGCAGTGTGAACTGATTATTTACATGCTCCGTTGCAGTGCTACAGAACTACAATAATATAAAGACTAATTAAGTAGTAGCTACCGCACACTAGTATTTGAGATTACCAAAACATTTAGCATTATTTATCAAAGGAACTCTGCTCGACTAAAAAAAACAAAAAACGACTGAATTCGTGTAAGGCTGGGTGTGTAAAACTTTTACGATTATAAGAATTTCTTGGATCATATCATCGCTAATATACCTATTACATATTGCTACACCACTGCCTTTAGACAATAATGTTGTTCACGCTGATGTGTACATAACACGATGAATCACGTTTCTTAAGCCTTAATTTTCTTGTAACGACAGTTTAAAGCAAATGTATTTATACTTAGCTTATTACGTCTTTTACAGGTGATTAATTTATAGTAAATGATTTGCAATTAAAATGTTTATAGATATATATATGTTTGTGCAAATATACACTGTTGGCGAGAGTAGCTCATCACATGTTGAGGAGATAACAGGCATTTTTTTCTACGACGGCATTCTACCAGATTGGGGTTTAATAACATGACAACGTCAAAGACACTAACTTGTAGAAATCTTTAATATCTAAACTCTAAAGGAAGAGTCCTAAAATCGCTGGAAATTTGTGACTATTAAAATTATTAGGAGGTGATGTTTAGAGTTGTGTTTCAGATCTATGTCGTATCTGAAAGCATGTTTATTAGTCCGATATCTGTGTTCATACAGCTGTTAAGATCATATATTGTTTAAACTACTATGATGAATATGTGGTTAGGGGGTTGAATTAATAATCCACAATGAGTTCTGAAAATAAATTTCAATGGGATCTGAAATGAGAATGAATTATTAATAGTATAGTTATGGTTCATTCAAACAGACTATAGTAAGATTATTAATAGTAGAGTTATGGTTCATACATCCAGACTGGAGTAAGATTATTAATAGTAGAGTTATGGTTCACATCCAGACTGGAGTAAGATTATTAATAGTATAGTTATGGTTCATATATCCAGACTGGAGTAAGATTATTAATAGTATAGTTATGGTTCATATATCCAGACTATAGTAAGATTATTAATAGTATAGTTATGGTTCATATATCCAGACTGGAGTAAGATTATTAATATAATAGTTATGGTTCATATATCCAGACTATAGTAAGATTATTAATAGTATAGTTATGGTTCATATATCCAGACTGGAGTAAGATTATTAATAGCAGAGTAGATTTATTCAATAACCTTGTAGCCTTTACTTGACATCATCGTGAAAGTAATCTATTTATCAGGTCGAAATTACCTGAATCTTAATTCTGATATTTTAAACTTTAGATGGGTCACTCTTTTGGATTTTTATTTAACTTAAGTATTTTCTAGAAGTTTTATTGAGATGTGTGTGTGTGTGTATTAAGCATTTTGGCACTTCAAAGTTATACGATTTTGAAAAGAACTTGAAATTAACTGAACAAACTAAACTGTTATAAGTATCCAAAGTATGTATTGGCGACATATCCAGGATTGTTGGATGGGAGGAAGATGCGGTCACAAAAATGAAGATTTTTGGTGTTATATGATCACTAAATAAGATATAAGTATCAAATATCATTAATGATTGCAACCCTCGCTGGAGTTCTTTGTGAAATAAATCAGGTCGCCAGTAAGATATATATATTTATATATACACATCCACAAAATAATGTATAAAACGCGTGAACACTTCTTCGACATAAAACAAGGCTGCCCAATCTGTTTAGTGACTAGGTGGCGCTGCAGACATTTCAAAACGTTTATAAAAACGATCGCTGGCGAGAATCTGTGAAATTAGGTGCTCATATTTAGCACCCATGAAATTCTTTTGTATTGTTACGTCTCCGTGTGTTAATTAATTTTCAGTAACTTCGTACCGACGAAACTTAAGCGACACAAGC